AGCCAGACTTTTGTCATTTTTACAGTAATTAAGAGTATACAAAGCAAAACAATAGCAATCCAATTAAAGTGTGCATGGTCAGAAATGATCGACACTTCAGTGGTTTGAGCCCAGCTCCGTGCAGCAGAGTGAGCTCCTGCTTCCTCCCCAGCTCCTGCCAACCCAGCAGCTTGAAAACTTACGTGAGTAGATAAATGGGGGCTCTCACCCCGATGGGAGGAAAAATGCTGGCGGCGCTTGCACGGGAGACGGGTGTAGTTGCCGGTAACGCGGAAGCCACACTCGCCCAAAAAAGGCATGAAGCAATGGAAACCCCACCTCCTGAGCTCGCCAGCTGGGCTCTGCTCTAGGAAGGAGGCCATGGCAAGCCACTCCCGAAACACCTTGCCTTGAAAACTGCAGGGACTCGTCCAGGCAGTTGCCACAGAATCGGTCCCGATTTAGTGAGGATTAAAAAAAAAAAAAAACTTCACTCAATCATGGGCATACCATCATTCACCATAAGACCTTTGGAACAATTCAGTTCTGAATAATTTCTGAAAGCTGAGGTGCTGCCACTGAAAAGCAGCACTATGAGCCTCACTGCCACACACTTTGCTAGGGGTCACCAGCAGTTTCTCCTGAGACACATGGGTCCGATAGGTTGATTCTGGTTGGAGGAGGCAGTTCAGGAAGCACATTTGTGCCAAAATATATGGGGTTTAACAAGTAATGACCAGAACTATGAATTGCATCTGTGATATGCTTCAGAGAACTAGTGCCAATCGGTAATCAGTCAGTTGCATTCTGGATTAGCTGAAGCTTCTGACTAGTCTTCAAATGCTGCATCATGTAAAGTGCACTGCAGTAGTCTACACAGTAGTGATGAAGCCCAGAATGGGTTATTGCAAGGTACTCCCGTTCCAGGTACCGCCACAACTGATGTACCAACAGAAGTAAGTAAAGCCTCCATTGGCCACAGGCTTCAACTGTCCATGAAGCAGTAGCTGTTGGTCCAGGAGGAATCCCCAGGTGCAGAACTGCTCTTTAGGGGCGGTGCCATGGCGTCCAGAGATCTCACTGGAGCTGCGAAAGTACTGGCATCTGGTTGGCCACTTTGGACTAGATAAACTAGATATACTGGACTAGATGAACTATGGTCTCATCCAGCAGGCTGTCTTTATTTTGAGATATTTTTAAAAGGGATGGTTAACAGATGTCAGAGTTCATAATTTGTCCTTGGTGGAGACAGATCACTTCTTTGGAATTGCCTGCAGGATATTTGAATGATACTGCATGGGACACATATGAGTTGGCCAATAAAAACAAGCATACATGTACTCTTACTGAAACCTTTCAAATGTGAGGCAAAAATAATGCCCTGGACATGAATGGAATGACCAGTTTCTGCTTAATTAGAGATTTACTTTGTAATTCAGGATGTGGGATGTATAGGGATCTTTCAGTGTTTAAATCTTATCACAAAAAGTGTAATTGGCATAAACCAGTTATGCCAATTACACCCAAGAGAGGCATTCTGAACACTTTTCAAATATGGTTTTGGAACTACACACTTTGTACGAATTCAGCTTCCATTTATTTGACTTAATCCACCCTGTTGCCAATTTCAGAGAGTTATTTAAAGTGACAACGACGGATTTTTCATATAGGAAAGAGAACAGGGGTAGAAGGTTTTTTGAAAAAAAATGGTAATTCACTCCAAAGCCTTTAGCAATTTCCCTCAATAGTTTCTTTTTTTTTTTAAATAGATATTAAAAATCACAGGGACTAGAACAGACTTTTACAGGTCCACTTAAGAGTGTTCCTTCGGGGAAGAAGGA